AAATGTTTGGATCACTTCTGCTACAGTACTGTGACTGATACGTAAAGCTTTGCTGATCTTCTTGTAGCCCTCACCTTTTTGTGTAAAGAAATTATTTCATTTATCAGATTTTGTGACATTTCTCTTCCATGTGGAGCCGTTGCTGCAGCATGAAATGGGAGGGGCTTTTCTTTGTTACGTAATGTCCTTTATATAGTCACCTGTCTGCTGGACACCTCTTAAACGAATTATTAGACTCACCTGTTAATTTGAATTTTTTGTGTGACTTTTCTCCTAAGACTATAATTGGGGTGAACTCGTTTTTGCAACAAGAGCCTGAATAGATTTATTAGAAAAACCACTTTTGTGTGTTTGCAAATCAACTAATCATGTTTGCAATCAGTGGCCCACATCTGTGGGAGTATTTTTTTGTTTGGTACTTCATAGAAAATGTTGATTCTGAAAGAAAACTAAAGGTTTTCTGACACACGTAATGGGGTGTACTCATTTATTCAGAGCACAATACCCAGTAACAGTAACTGCTAGATTTTTAGCATCAATAACTCCTTTGTTAATTCTTGTTCACTTTTTTGGAAAATCCTCAACAATGTTTTCCCCAACTGAAGACAAGGTTATGATATTTTCTTCCAGCTCACCTAACCCCAGACGTGGAAAGAGTACTAAAATTTCCTACTTAAGTACGAGTACCAATACTTTTATAATTTTTTACTTAAGTACAAGTAAAAGTACTTGCCTAAATTTTTACTCAAGTAAAAGTAAAAAGTATTGTAAATAAAATGTACTCAAAGTAAAAGTTACTTAGTTACAGTTTTGTCAGCGTAAGGATGGCTAAATGTAAGTAGAACAAAATCACAACGCCAGTTCACAATTCACTCGTGTGCGCACACACACACACACACGCACGCACGCACGCACACACACACACACACACACTGCAACATGTTAGAATCATGTGAATGACTAATTTAACTACACTGAACTGCTTTTGTAATAATTTAATCTCTTATTCTGGAGTAAAATAAAGAAACAAGCTAAATCATCACATATCTGTGGCATCAAGGAGCATCTTCTGAGTTCAAACACAGGGATGGAGCACCATGTTCACACCTGAACAGTATCAGGATGTTTTAACTCACAGAGGCCTGCAGGTCTTCTGTTTTATGAGCAAAGCGCTGATAATCCGCTTGTTAGGAGCGCTAAACGTTATTTTGCCACTTCCGTGCGGAGCGGTAGGGAAACACATTTCAAACACGGAACCGAGTCTGGTTACTGAACCGAGTAGAATTGTGAGGACGTCACACCGGTGCGCGAAGGTGCGGGATCCAATCCACAGGAGAGGCGGGAGAGAGGAGGTGAACAGTGAGTGGATCACAGGGACTTAACTGATGTTTTTGAGCAAAACTGCAGTAAAAATGGCTGTCCTCATTATCTAAAATGTACCACCACCACCCCCCACCCCCCACGGTTTAGACGCGCCACTCACGCATGTGTCTCTTTCTGTTCCGACGCTGCAGCATGCAATATTTTTAATCTATTAAGCCTACAGTTTATTTTTACTCAGTAACGGATATGATTTAAAATGTAGCGAATTACAATTCTTTTTCAAAAATGTACTCAAGTAAAAGTAAAAGTACAGATTTTAAAAACGACTTAAAAAGTATAAATATACAAAAAAGCTACTCAATTACAGTAACATGAGTAAATGTAATTTGTTACTTTCCACCTCTGCCTAACGCTAATCCTGAATGTAAGGGTTCAGGTATCAAATCTCAAACTTTCAAGTCTTTAAAAGACAAGTCAAAATTCAAGCATACGGGGGTTGAAAACACAACTCATTATCACATCAATTGCGACGGACATGTCATAAAAAACTGTCCTGCAAGGTGGAGTACTGCAGTTTTCTAAGTGGACGGACACTGTACCTTGGTCTTCCTCAGTCTCACCTCTCCCGTCTTCAAATGGTGCCAAATGCAGCAGCACGCCTGTTGACGGGTTCGAGAAAGAGGGAGCACATCACCCCAATTTTAGCTTCGCTGCACTGGCTGCCTGTGGTTTATAGGGTCCAGTACAAGGTGCTTTTGTTGGCTTTTAGAGCTGTACATGGCCTTGCTCCGCAGTATCTGTGTGAGCTTTTAGTAACTTTCTCCCCGTCTCGGTCACTGAGGTCAGCCGACCAGTTTCTCCTGGAGGTGCCGAGAACAACGAGAAAGCTCAGGGGTGATAGAGCTTTCTCAGTAGCAGCTCCAAGGTTGTGGAACGCACTCCCAATCCAGATTAGGATGGTTTCATCACTGTCGGGTTTTAAATCACTCTTAAAGACTCATCTGTTCTCAGTTGCTTTTAATTCAGTTTGAGAATGCATCTGTTTTTAGTAGCTTTTATGTCAGTTTGATATGTTTGTTTTATCATGATTTTACTTCGGGATGAACTTTTTATCTTGTTTTTAGAATTTTTGAGGAAATTCTGTTCGTTTTGTCTTGTTAAGCGCTTTGGTCAGCTTTTATGCTGTTATAAAGTGCTATATAAATAAAGTTGACTTGACTTGACTCATCATGGAACAGACCGAGTTCACTAATTCTTTCAACACATTTGCGCTGGTCTTTAGTATAAATGCAGGTCTTGTGTGTTGATCTCTGTGGGAAAAAGCTCTGGCGCTCCTACTTCAGGAACTAGAAATGAGCCAGAGGAGAGGGGAGCAGAACACAGCAGGTCTTATATTATGACATCTCGCCTGCGATTGGCTAACAGCAACGTGATTCTACATGTGACTCTGTTTGCTCCACAAATTACACACGGCTGAGGGAGTTCAGCTTCATTGTCAAGTTGCTAATGCTAACGGTTAGCTTCTACTAGCTGATAAGTTCTCTGCTGTTTCCTGGACGCTAAATCAACAGCTATCCTCGTCATGAGTCAAGATGGGTGAGTTCATGAATCCTAATTTGACATAATGTCATACAATCTGGCTTTTTTTAAATCCAAACGTTTCCCTGTCTACTTAGCTAGAATTAGGGTTAGAAGATTATTTTCTCATTCCGTCTTCAGGAAAAACTGTTCATGTTTCAAAAATATCGAGTAAAAAAATGATTTCTCAGTGAACTTCGCTTTTAAAGATTGTGTTTCAAAAAATAACATCAGATCTGGTGACTGACATGTGTGTGCCACACTCATCTCCCTCCACTCCTCCAGTACCCTGGCTCACGACCGCTACCCTCCCCGTTCTGGATCGTGCACCTGCCTTAGAAACCGTCAGCACAGTTCCCTTTTCTGTTCCTCCTGATTATTGTCTCACCCACCGGTTCCCCCTAACCTGTGTCTATATCCTACATTGAGAACCGAGGACTCTCCTGCTCACCTGGCAGCGCCTTCAGTTTTCCCATTCCTGCTCATCGTTTTAGTAGCACCTTCAGTCCCCTACTCAAAGATTAATACATTTCTGTTTTACCTTATCCACTCTGTCTCCTGGTTTGATTCTGCATGTCGTGGGTCTGATGTTTAACCCCTTCCATGACATTTATAGAGCACCTCTCAAGATGAAAATTATGAGGCACTTCAAAAAAAAAACATTAAATATAAAAAATGTCCCAAAATTATTAAAAATACTTTTAATTATAAAAATTCAAATTGTGAATAAAATAAAAAAAATTCATCAAAAAGACCAAAGATCATTTGCTCCTGTGGCCCCCAGAGTCATGTTGCGGGTGTGGAGATGATGGACCAAGTGTGGTGGAGCAGATCAGGAGGTACAGATGCAGGCTTCAGGTAAAGTAAAATGGTTTTAATGGTGGAACGGGAATGAGCAGCACAAGACAACTATGACAAAAACTACAATGATCTGACAAAGACTGGTACAAGGAGGGAGGTATAAATACACAGGGAAAATGAGGAACACATGGGCAGGTAAACAAGGGGCAGGTGAAAACAATAAGAACTAATCAAGGGCAGGAGAGAGACACAGTCAGGGAGGCAGGGGCAGACCGTGACACCCAGACTCTGGAACTCTCTCCCCCTGAGCCTGAGATCGGTGGACTCAGTGGTCTCCTTTAAAAAGCAGCTGAAAACTCACCTGTTCAGGCTTTGGTGTGACCTTCACCACCCTCTCCTTGTTCTGCTCTTATTGCACCTTTCCTGGGATCCACTGATTTCCCTCTTTTTTTTCTTCATTATCTCTCTCATTACATTTTAATCACAATCACTTCTCTCATTTTAAACATATTTTTAATTTTTTTAAATCTTTTTTTTTTTACTTTGTTTTTTTTTCTGTCAGTGTGTTTTTTGTGAAGCGCCGCGTGATTTTTATTTTAAGAAGCACTGTAGAAAAGATTTTTTTTGTTTTACGTACTGAGGACCGTTTTCTGTAGTTTCCCCACAAAGTGAGAACTTTTTTCTGGTCCTCACTTTTTGGAAAGCTTACCAGTTGGTTTTAGAGGCGTGGTGTGACGTTTTCGTTAGGGTTAGGAATAGATCAGCATCGGCTATGGTTAGGCGTAATACTGTCACAAAAATAAATGAGAGTCAATGGATGGTCCTCACTATGATATAAAAACAGACGTGTGTGTGTGTGTGTGTGTGTGTGTGTGTGTGTGTGTGTGTGTGTGTGTGTGTGTGTGTGTGTGTGTGTGTGTGTGTGTGTGTGTGTGTGTGTGTGTGTGTGTGTGTGTGTGTGTGTGTGTTAATTACTCTGGTCTGAACTTGTTCCCATAAATGACTCATCTCTTAGCAACATCTCTTGATGGTCCTGACAGAAGTGTCCTCTCTGAGGCTAATGAGCTAGCTAGCATAGCTAGGATGAGCCACCCGGCAGGAAAAGTCTGTATGACTGTTGATGTTACTGAGAATGATCAAAGACATCGCACAAGACTCTGCTTGTGTCGACTTGTTCTTTTTCATGAATGGCTGTCCGTCAGTAACAGCCCCCACCACACACACACACACACACACACACACACACACACTTGCATACTTCCTTTTCCATCTCCCGTTTGTTTAGCTTGCAGCACACATCCTCTAAGCCAGAGAACCAGCCTTTCTGGTAGCTCTGTGTCGTAATTCTGTAATGATTAACTTTTTCCTCCTCAAAGACATAAGAGAGGAAATCCCCCAAAGGATACTTACAAAAGGAGCGTAGAAGAAGCGGCGATCCTCCTGAGGTCAGTTTGACTCAAATATTACTGGATGTGCAGGATAGAAACCAGCTTGAGAAACTCTTTGCAGTTTGCGTTTAGTTTGAGTTGCTTTCCATTTGACAGTGAGAGCTGACAATGGAGTTCACAGCTTTGCATTTGCTCTGGCTTCTGTCTGCGACGTCTCTTACAAAACAAGGTAAGTGTGTCTGTGTTGTCCACTGAAAAGCAAAAGCTGGAAAGACTTAAATGTTTTCTCTACGAATGCATGACAGGAAACAAACACGTGCCGCTCTGTTTCTCTTGATTAAATCTCACCTTTATCTTAACAGACTCTGTGAGGCTAAAGGTGAGCCCAATCATTGCTGCACAATGTGACACACGGGTTTTTCTATACTGCAACGCATCATCATCTCAGCCTGGACTATCAATCAAATACATGGACTGGTCCCAAGACGTGCAATTATGCTCTGTGAATGAAAAAGGAGACCTTTCCACAAACAATGTTTCTACTGATTTCCATTGCAAGTACCAGGAAGGACAACTGACTCTTGTTTTACACCGTGCACTGCCTCTGAAGAGTGGGAACTCAAGCCGCTACGTGTGCAAGCTTCGCTCCAACCAAGGGACGCTCCATGAATATACCACAGTGCAGCTTCAAGGTCAGAGTCCACGTTTGCTTCTGTTTAGACCAGACGTGTCCAAAAATCAGGAAGTTAAAGACCTCATGGGCCTCAAATATGAGATTTTGTTTAAATCAACAAATGCAAAAATTATTTTTTTGGTGATTAGTTTTCTTCTTACTTCTGAAAACAGGTACAAAATGAACGTCTTAGAAAACCCCAAGTGTTTGTGCACATCAACAACAGCCTAGAGGAAAAACAGCATTCGTTGTAGAAATACAAGTGGAGGTTGCACAAAGTTGCTCAGAGGGCCACAAACGGCCCCCGGGCCGCACTTTAGACATGCCTGATGTAGACAAACAATACATTTGCCTAAAGCCGGGCGTACACTGTGTGACTTTTTCACTTTTTTGAGCCGATTTTCCAGTCGTGCGAGAATCTACGACATCGGGGCGAGTTTTGCGCCGAGCGGTCGTGTAGTGTACAGGGGGTTACGAGAGGCGATTAACACCACGTGACCAGCTACCGATCAGCAGTCGTGAGGTCGCACGGACTTCTGGCGTGTTTGATATTTTGCTCGTCCCTCGTGAGGGTATCGCACTGTTGAAGCGGCGCTGCGAGCAGCTGCGACCCAAAAAGTACCAGAACCGCTCACGGCGCATGCGCAATCCCGCATCAACGCCGCTCGCTATTTCCCTAATAAAACACGTTGTTCGTTTTAATTTCTACACGTTTTTTTTACTCACAGAGATTGTCAAGAAAGCGTGTTTGTCGTGTTCGTGTCAAATTAAACTGATCACAAAACACAGATTTACTTTCTTTATTTCGTTTTCCTCATCCAACCCCATAAATCCCTGTGTGTCCTCCTGCAGCACTCCCGAAGGACAACAGGCAAAACAAGACCAAAAAGTCTGACGTGTTGAGTAAAAACTGCTATTTTTAGCATAATTTTAGGTCCGACGTGTTGCGACCAGACGTACAGTGTGAGCACATGGCTCGTGAGATCTGCTCTGCGAGGAAGTCGTACAGTTTGAGCTGAAGCTGAACGCTACGAGTGAAAAAGTCGCACAGTGTCCGCCCGGCTTAACACACATTAAAGTGGGCAGCTCAGCCTTAACCTTCTCAGGCTAAAAATCAGTTTTGGTAAAAGGACGAACAACTAAGTCCTTCAGGGGTACTACTGAGTTAAAAAAATGCTCATGAAGTACGTATGTGGAGTAAGCAGGTAGGTAGTTTTTAAAGTTGCAAATGTGCAACGCCTGCCTCCAGAGGGTTAACTGTTAAAATGTGAAGCTACAGTTAAGGCTGCCATGTTGAATTTTATATTTATTTCAAAATTTATATATTGTGACAAGCTCTCTCTCTCTCTCTCTCTCTCTCTCTCTCTCTCTCTCTCTCTCTCTCTCTCTCTCTCGCTCTCTCATTCTCTCTCTCTCTCTCTCTCTCTCTCTCTCTCATTCTCTCTCTCTCTCTCTCTCTCTCTCTCTCTCTCGCTCTCTCATTCTCTCTCTCTCTCTCTCTCTCTCTCGCTCTCTCATTCTCTCTCGCTCTCTCTCTCTCTCTCTCGCTCTCTATCTCTCTCTCTCTCTCTCTCTCTCTCTCTCTCTCTCTCTCTCACTCTCTCTCTCTCATTCTCTCTCTCTCTCTCTCTCTCTCTCTCGTCCAAGAGGAGCACAAACAGCAAGCAGAGAAACTTTGATCGGCAACAGATCATATATTGCAAGAAAATAAAAGAATATTCTGTTTTGAACAATATTACAACTTAAAAGTGAGACACATTGAGTTTGTCGACACGCGACTGTTTCATCTGAGTTTAGGAGTTTGTTATTTCGTACTGATTCCATTGGACAATGGTGGTCAGTTTTGGGTTAGGAATGAGGCACTGCTCCAGCGGAGCTGGAGGGACTCTGTGTTTAGAGCATGTCTCACTGGAGGCAGATCCAGGGCGCAGTGAGGTTGAACCTCACAGCCAGCCCATGAACATCTGGGTGTCACTGTGGCTGAGCTGGAGGAGGTAGATGGAAAAACATGGAGTGTTCGCTGAAGTTGCCACTGTGACCTGCATCAGTATCATAAGGCTGATGTTTCATAGGTCAGATAAAGATAACAGATTGAATTAAAACAACCCTTGTGACTGGTTTAGGATCTAGTTGCGATGTCTCTTTGGATAAAAACATGAAAAAGTCTTAAGTTATCATGCATTTTAACACTTTTTTTTTCTTTAGAGTGCTGCGGGAGGGTTGAGAGTTCTTTATCGAGCCGTGGTCCAAACTGCACCTTCTCCAATGTATACCCAGACGGAGATGTACACTGGTTCCAGGGCTCCCAGAACCTCTCAGACGGGTCTGTGAGTCAGAGCACAGCCAAAAGTGTGGATAACGGCTGGCTCACCATCTACAGCTGGTTGACCATCAGTGGCCAGGAGACGCGTTCCGATGTGCCCTACAACTGTTCCTTAAAGAGCCCCATGTCCGACAAATACATTGCGAGTTCTTTGGTTCCGAAACTCATACCCATTAAAGGAAAAAGTCAGGAGCAATCCACACCTAACAGAGCTGCATCACAGAAAACCAGGACAACAGTTTTGTTTGTCCTGGTCTCAAGTCTTTTTGCTTGGAAATAAGGTGTTCTACAAGGTAAGACCAGATCCCCGAGCGTGATAAGACACCAGGGTGGGTGATAATCATCAATCAGGTTGTACGAGGTACTCAGATAGCTGCCTGCTGTTTTTATTTTATTTTTTATGGACCAGGGTAACAACACTGACTGCTGAGTGAGTCATGGCTGAAAGATGTATTAATCACTTTCCAGGTCCTGGGTTACGTAAACCAGGAAATCACAAATTGCTTGTGAGCTGAAAACCAACCTAAACAAACAAAAAAAAATATATTTGATAGAGATTAATAAATTAGATGGAGACACACTAGAATGGGCCGACGCAGAAGACGACATCACTACGCTTTGTGGAGTCCTTTTTGCTACTGGTTCACATCCTGAGCCACACTTTCTCTGGAGACGTATTGTAAATAGTATGTTGTGTGTACTGGCAGCGCAGTTACCGGTAAACTCCTGTGAATTACAACAGTTTTCTAATAACTCTCGCAGGGAAACATTGAACAGATAAGCACCAGAACCATACCACTCCAACAGAAGGACCAGTTGTAGGTGAATGCTGCCCTCTGGTGACTTTAATGATCATTACAATTGCAATTGAAAGACCTCTGCCGTATTGGTCTTTATTCCTGGATGCCCAACATTTCATTTATCCAATCATGTAGCACTGATGTCACATCTTCAATTGTCATCCTGAATATAAACATTAGATTTGTGTTTTATTCAGCCCTACACATAAAGAGCCACCTCAGATGGGCTGAAGAGCCACAAATTGGCTCCTACTGGAAGATGGATGATAAACCATAATGTAGAAGTTTGTCTCAGACCATCAAATACAAGTTTCTACAGAGAACGTGAACTCTAAAGGAACATTTAAACTTTAACTATGGTCCAAGATAACCTCTTATTCCTGCTGCAGACTGACATCAGTGTTTTGGAACTTGACATAATTCTGATGGATTTGTGGAGATATGACATCTCTGTTGGTCCTGGGTCAAAAACGTGCAGGTGAGAAACAACTGGAAATCTTAGATTATACTTCAGCATGAAAAAAAGTTATTCCGCTGCTTTGGCCTTTTTGTTCTCTGGGATGAAAAGTGTAAATTCAACAAGAGAACATTTTAAAAGACAGAAATACTCAAATGTAGCGTTCATAAAAACCTCTCACTGTTTCCAGGCTTTTGAGCATCGTCCCAAAGGAAACTGAGACAGACGCAACATTAAATTCCACTTTTATTTTGTACATAAAACTGAAACACGGATCAGTAGTCTGTTTATTTTTATCTAAGAACTAAAAGGACTGATTTAAAAATATGAGTGTAACTCAGTCCTTTCTCATGGATAAACTACATTAACTTCATCCCAAATCAGACCACAGGTCTGACTGACTATGGACATGAGTTATTTCTGTAAGTGCTTGAATTCTCAGCCTGTCCTCAATACGTCAGGTGGAGACCACATCCAGGGGACGAATTTAGCTCAGAAGCCTTTGTCTTTTTACGTTTAACGCCTCAATGTTCCCTGTTCGGGATGGAAATCTTAGAGACTTTTCCATTCAGGAAAACCACAGAGAGCACTGAGCTTTAAGCAAGGGCACGTAGCTGCAGCAGCCATATATTTATGTATATGTCAGTATGGCCACAACCCATAGGGAACGTTCAGTCAAGAGGCAGGATCTATGGTTATCCATCGAGCCGTCTCCGTATGCTATTGGACTACAAACAATGTAATATACTCATTGCTTGGATCTCAGTCAACCATACACTGTCATACAAAATACATCATTTTTCTCTATCTGTTCTTGGCTCAAAGAAAAGCCCAAGTCTAAAAATGATGCCAAAGCCATTTCAGAGAAGTCTTCGTTGTTTCGCTCTGTCGCATCATCCTGCCCATCAAACTGATAGAGTGCTGTGAATAGGGACCCTAAGTCACTTCCGCACCACGGTTCCCCAGAAGAACAAAAAAATGAACGCAAGTCAACGGGGCTAAAAACGTATTTTTCTAATCCGCTTTACCTTACGCCCTGGATCACACATGTGTTGTACTGCAATTTAAATGAAAAGTAATGATGGGTGTTATGACCAGTGTTGGGCAAGTTACTTCAAAACTGTAATGCATTATTTATTACTTGTTACCCTCATTTTAAAGTAATTCAGTACATTACAATATTACTGATTTTAAAATGGAAGGCATTACACTACTTTTGCATTACTTTAAGTTACTTTCACCGATACAACTTCAGTATGAATCTGGTCATGTGACGCTCAGTGAGCTCATGACATATATGTGGAAGGTGATGTGGTGTCTGAGCTAGGATTGCTGTTAAAAACAGTCAGATATAATAACAGTGCTTTAAAATGATTGTTTACTAAATAAAAGCAACAACAATCTGTACTCTCAGCACGCTGCCATCTTAGATTAACTGAGCAGGGAGTGAGGTGGTGGGGGCTCCAAGCCTATTTGCCTTGGTCCCCAAATGCCTTGATACGGCCCTGGATGTGGGACTGACTTCTGGGGTGATCTGATTCTATCACATGTATAAATATTAAATGTTTATATATTATTGCTTTTCACTGGTAAAAATGTGTATTGGGGATAAATCTACCTACTTTTTTTCTTTTCAAGCACTTTGTTTTGTTTTCTTGATTTTATTTGAATAATTTCCGGCCCTTTCTCTCTCTAACCTTCCTGCATGCTGCATGTTTTCTCCGTCTTCCAGAAAAAACTGTTTCCGTGTTGGTTTCCTAGATTTCCTACTTTCTAACGATCAGCCAAAGGGATCTTCACATGCGCGGCGCTCCAGCAGTAATGAGTTGAAATCACCGGGGCCCAGATTATGAACTCAGCTGAGGCAAAGCACGTCAGAAAAGCACAAAATACCAGAGAATATGCGCCGATATGAACGATCGCAAGTGAATTATTTTGTTTTAGTGGAGCGATTTTGTGAATGTTGCAGCGGCCGCGTGCAGGATGCAGCTGAGCCGTTACCGCTGCGTCCTCTCTGCCCACAAAGCTGAGTCCATAAATGACGTAATATATGCAGATCTTGATCTGGGTTTAAAAATGTGTTGTAATTACCGCGTTACTGACAATTGTACCGAGTAAATATTACCATTTTCTTTCCCTGTAATGCCTTACATTACCACATTACAGCAAAAAGCAATGCATTACAGTAATTAATTACTTTTGTACCGCATTACTCCCAACACTGGTTATGACCACGCCAGTCACGTACTTTGAGATTTCTTAGCTTGTAAAAGTTCGTAATTAGCATGACTACAAACTAGAAATCGGCACGTCGCGTATGTGACGTCACCACATAATCTCCTGTCCCCAAAGTAGCTGCTACTTACCACATGACCAGACTTATGGTGGTTCTTTCCTCCTGTGGGAAGTTTGCTGAACTTACAGCCCTTTTCTCTCAGCTTTCTCTGTGTCTGGTTCGATGATGTCACTTTCGTGAAGCGCATTCTTAGTCCTGGACTTATTTTCACACAAAACCTAAAATAGCGTTTCCCCCTCTTCGAAAATAAGCGCTTTCTTGATATCAAAATGTGTCTCTAAAATTCACAGGCATCATATGTGAAATCCATGGCACATAACAAGCAGAATTTGAAAATAGCGTTTTTAGCCCCGTTGACTTGCATTCATTTTTTCGTTCTTCCGGGGACCCGTGGTGCGGAAGTGACTAAAGCTTGGTTTATGCTTGACGCATTCACTTTCCGCGCGGTGATGCGGCTCGCGGATGGGACGCGCTTCACAACTCGCAGCGTTTATGGTTCGTGCGGCTCGTCTCTGCGGTGAGCCAATATTCTCCCAAACTGTAGGGGGCAGCATGGAGCTCTACGGCATGCATCCAACACTACACCATAGTAGAAGTAAATTACTGTTTACAACATGGCATTCCAGCATTTTTAACAGCGTCCTCGTCTTTTCCGACAGTGCGAGCTATTTCTCTCCAAGAATTATTAACAACATGTTGATCACGGTGATCTCTGAGAGCTGAATCATACAAATGTCTGTATTTACGAACCTCTGCCATACTAGTTCTTGCCGGTCCGCCATGTTTTTCCGCGTCCGTCCGTCCGCGTGGTTAGAAATTTTCCGAGGTGCGCGTTGCGGAAATTCTGGGCCGTGCGGAGGTGCGGTGGAGGGGCGTGATTGTTAAAATGACGCAAAATGACGCAACTTTTCCGCGCGGAGCCGTGCGGACCTCGCGGACGCGTCAAGCATAAACCAACCTTTAGGCTCCCTATGGCCCACCAAACCGACAGAGCACTGTGAATGGCATGCCACATGATTGGTTAGGACTGAAAATGTTTCAGTGGAGTGCGGCTAGACCGACATGCAGAGCAACGCCATTTTGCTTCTGCTACGATCTGTCTAGGCTAGCTTTTAACACTGTAGGAGTGCTTTTGTTCCTGACTTCCCCTCAGAAGAAGAAGAAACAATCGTTTATATAGCGCCTCTCAAAGTAAAAATCATGAGGTGCTTCACCAGGACATAAATTTACAAAATACAAAAGATTAACAAATTATTTTTTAAATTTCAGTAAAAACATTGTAATAAAAAATGTGAAGAAAGGAAAATAAGAAAATTAATAAAAAAGAGGTAATCAGTGGATCCCAGGAAAGTGTAAATGTAAGAAAGTGAACACAACATATTTTGAAATATAATAATGTAAAAACATGAGCCTGATTTTGACAGTCAAAGCTACTGATGTGAATGTAACATACACTGTTCTTCGTACACGGGAAAGCAGATTTACAGAGCCGAGTGAAAACATTTTACAGCACTATGATGCTGCTTTAGCATTTTTACGCTGTTGTAAATACTGTGAAGGGATAAAAGCAACAGAAGTAAAGGTGGACAACATGCAGGTCCATGGGGCATCCAGCTGTAGCTTGGAAAATCATAAAATAATTACATCAGTTTCCTTTGCTTTTTGATAGTTTAAATTATATCTGACAAATGTTTACAATGAGTGTCTGTAAATATGTTTTGTATAACAGTCTTGATTTTTTAATAAAAAAAAGCATAAAAAAAATCTCCAATATGACATTAATTGGTTAAAGTCCAATGAATCCATGATTTGACACACACACACTGGAGGTGATAATTTGATGTGTTTTCCTTTAGAACATGAGCAGGAAGTTTGTTTAAGGGAAGTGACAGCAGGAGCTCCAAAGGTAGAGTTGGTGTTCCAGTAATCAAAAGGTTGCTGGTTTGATTTCATCTCATTGCTGGGAATTCTGCTGTTGTGTCCCTGGGCAAGACACTTCACCTGACTTGACTGCAGTGTCAGCTTGACCATGGGGGGGGGGGCTCTAGGATGCCACCCTAACTGACATGAATGTAGAAAAAAAAACATCTAAAAGTTAAAGAATAGCTATTCCCTCCACAGGTGGTCTCATCCTTCCAAGCTCGGGTCCTCTACCAGAGGCCTGGGAGCTTGAGCGTTCTGTGCAGTCTCCTAGCTGTTCCTATATCTGCACTTTTCTGGACTGAGATGTCTGATGTTTTTCCTGGGATCTGCTTTAGCCACTTCTCTGGTCTGGGGGTTACTGCCCCCGAGTGCCCCGATGACCACGGGGCACCATCCTTAAATAGAAGACGTTTGGGCCAACCAGAACCCTTCCTAGAGCAAGCCATCCAGGCAAACTGAGCTACCAGGGGAGAAGAGCCTTGGTGAGAGAGGTAAAGACAAACCCAAAGATCACTGTGGCTGAGCTCCAGAGATATCAGGAGATGGGAGGAAGTTGTAATTAGTCAACCGTCACTGCAGCTGTCCACCAGTCAAGGCTTTATGGAAGAGAGGCCCATCAGAAGCCTCTCCTCAGTGCAAGACACATGGAAGCCCACATGGAGTTTGCAAAAAGACGCGCTGACAGACAATTGAAACAAACAAGCAGCAACATAACAATAATACAGTGAGGTACTTTAATAAAAAAGTAACTCTTGTGATCCAATAACAGCAGTTGGGTAGATAAGTTGACTTTGAATGGTCGGCTGTTAACCCTGACTCTAGAGTACTTTGGTCTACAGAGACATTCCTGGGGGACTGAAACCTGCCAATCGGAGGCTTCCCCCGATGGTAGGTGTGAATTTGAGCTGGCCAAACAGTCGAAAGTTGGGTCACCTCAGTTCGAAGCAGATCACTGGTGGATGAGGTCTGTAAAAATGGCCGGTTAAGCAGGGAAAAAAACAGGCTACCCAGGTGTCCATCCATCCACCCATTATTTTCCCCTTATCTGGAGTCAGGCCGTGGGGACAGCGGCCTAAGCGAGGAGGCCATGACTTCCCTCTCCCCAGCCACTTGGGCCAGCTCCTCTGAGGGAATCCCAAGGCGTTGCCATATTGCCGCCGCTGTCCATGGGCAATTAAGTACGCAGAATGCGTAGGGCCCAGGCCCCCACAATGCGGCTTTAAAATTGAGGCGAACCCGGAAGTAAAAAAAATGCAGTTCCACCCTCATCCACTAGGGGCTGGTGTCAGAAACGAGCAAATCCTCATTGACTCCCATGTTAAAAATACCAATTTCACAGCAGAAATAAACATGTTTACAGCCTGGTACCAAAACATGTTTTTGGTTTAAATGATCTAGTTTACACTCTTGACAACTCTGAGGGGGGTGAATTTTGTTCTCACTCTTCTGTTTAAGTGTATTAAAAGCCTAAAATTCTGTATAATTAATGAGCATCAGACCCACGTGACCACAGAGCTAGCTCCGTGGAAAGGCCCGGTTTTAGGTCACTGCCGCCTTTTTCCTTTTACTAGCTGAGTTTATCAAAGTAGCTAGCTAACTATCATTTTAACCTGTAGCATGTACTGTTTAAACATGAAATTTAGATGTAAAATACGGTAAAGTAATTAATAGGGCATATGTCGATGGGTAAAACCCAGTGCATTTAACATAAAAATGGGTTGAAATCGTTGAAATATGACGGAGCGCTTGGAGGGACACCTGTGTCCCATTCTTCCATCCGTTTCTCCCCAGCGGTCAGGCTGGTGCGTGTCTGACCGATGCGGCGCCTAGCTGCTGCGCGGGCTGACCGCTCGTGGAGCTCTCGGACTCGGACCTGTTCTCCCGACAAAATATCTGAATAATGGAAGTTGCAGTAGTTCTCCCAACACGGCTGCACCCTTCGACCTGCCTCGGCCCTTGTGAGGCCATGGTTTATCACGTGGTTCACAAGTGTTGCCCTGGTTTCGTCAGGAATCTGTCGATGTGGTTGGGCTCTTCTTCCCCGGTTTTGTCCCCTTCCTCCACACATCCTCACCCCTCTTCTACAAGGCTGACCTTCCATGTTCTGCAGTTTTGTAGATACAGTATGCACCTCGTGCCAACCCTGTGTGCTGGTTTACGGTATTTATATATACTTGTAAAGTCGGGGTTAACGCGATTCACCTGTTAGGGACTGTGTAGAAGAGGCTTTTCTTTGGTTGCAAGTAATAGTTCACACTCCTCTTTTCATTAGTGTAAGATAAGGTTCACCTGAGAAAAGTCATTTATGGAGATTTTCATGGAAACTCTTTAAAAATAGGGTTATGAAAAATGTTTGACAAGATGTTCAACAGTTCTGAGTGCAATGACACAAGCCATGAAATGAAGAATTATTTAACATACCTAGACATCGGATACTCGTAAAGGAACATTGTGTCTCCATATATGGAGTTAAATTGTGGAATAAATTGAATACTGAACTCAAGAATGCAAAAACAATATTGACTTTCAAAAAAGAGATAAAAATTAAAACGATTAACTTATATAGATCCGTTACATAAATGTGTGAGGGGAGGGGGTGGGGGGGATTAAAGGAACAAAATATTAACCTAGTATGTGCTTGTATGTGTATATATGTATGTATATAGATCTGTAACTTAATGCTTCTTTCTGTGTAAATTGTTTTCTTTTTCTATTTTTTTCTCAAATTCATGGGTTGAGATTTTGTCGGCCAACAGGTCCAGGAACTATATTGTTCAATTTCCTTAAGAATCATATGATTATTTCATTTGTATTAATGCTATTTTAGTTAAAAGGGGCAGACAACATAAGTTTTTCTTCTTTCTGTCCCCTCTTTCATTTTGGCTTGCAGCAATTTAGTTCTGATTGTATTTTTATTTTAATGTCAATAAATGAAAATAAAAGATTAAAAAAAAAGATTATTAGTTGTATGAACAATGACTGTTCAGCCTGTACAAGTATAGTTAATTATGACATACGTGATGAAAGCACGTCAAAAATGACCATTCTTAAGATATTTGGACTTACTCAACTGCTTCATGTCCAAAGGCAGCCGCCACTAGGTCGTGCCAGAACCACGACATGTTGTGGAGGTTGAACTAACTGTTGTGTAAAGCTTAATTCTGTAGTGAGAAATGCACCAAAGCAACTTGGAAAAACTGTAATCAGGAACTCAAGGCAGAAGTTAACGTTCAGGTGGTGCTTGTAGTACAAAATCACCACTAGATGGCAGCATTGTCTAACAAAGGACTTTTTCAACAGCGCCCAACAATAGACCATTATGAGCCATGTTCTAATACAGTACATGATACAGTACATGATACAGTACATGATACAGTACATGATACAGTACATGAGCATCTAGGCTACTTTTCCTTTTTAACAAAACTGAACAGTGTTAATATTTGTTTCTGTGTGACGTCTGAGCTTACTGCTCGTTTGCCGACACTAACCGGGTGTCATGTGCACAGCTGAATTGGAAACATATGATTCCTGCTTGTCATTGTTTTGTATGAGAAGGAGGGATTTAGGAGTGACTGAGGAAAAAATGTTCCTTTGCCAGTTCTGGGAGGATTAAGGATGAGGATGCTGCCAGTCTGACCACTGAAACCAAACATTTGAAAATCAAGCTAGCCTTTGACCTGCTGTTATGTATTCTTCTTCAGTTTTGTGAAATGCTTGTCATTGTACATCTTAGGTGTGTTCTTGCTGTGTCTTTCTAATTCCATTCTTTCGTTCTTTTTTAAACACAGAAACAGTTTTGTTTACCTGTAGCTACAGTTTCGCCGACGGCTGCCGTCGGCGAAACTGTAGCTACAAACAGGTAAACAAAACTGTTTCTGTGTTTAAAAAAGAACGAAAGAATGCTTGTCATTGTGTTTCCAAATGTTTCTAGAAGTTTTGGCTTCTCTGCAAGCGACTTTGCTGGTAGAGTTCACATTTCTGCTCGTTTGTGCTGTTTTGGTTTTGTTGGCTAAAGGCTCATGCTGTTGTTTTTGTCGCAGATGCAGAGTGCGAACATGACCGCGAGCCACAAGAAAGCAAAGGTGCTCTGCTTGATTGTGACGCTGAACATCTTCATCTGTGTCTTGATGGGCCTGAAGTGGAATTTTGGGACCGGACAAAGCCGTCAGCAGAAGGTTCGAATCCCATCCCAGAGGTTTTGGCGCCCACAGTTTCTGAGTGAATCTTTCTGGAACAAGGAGCAGCAGCTGCTAGACGTAGTTCACAACCCAGTCATGAACTCTGCGCTCTCCAGCAACTCCACCAGTCTGTTGCCAGGTTGGATAAATGACACAAAACCTCTTAACGCCTGTGAACCAGATTACAGGGTTCCAGCCCAAATCTCAGACTACAACACACTGCCGCAGCGGTTTCGAGACTTTCTTCTGCAGGACCTACCCCATGCTGATAAATCAGCCCCACATCTGTAAGGAAAACCCATTTCTGCTGCTGGTGGTCAAGAGTTTAATCCCACACTTTGACCGCCGGCAGGCCATTCGTCAGACGTGGGGTCACGCAGGCATCTTAGCCAATCGGACAGTAGTGACCGTCTTCCTGCTTGGCAGCACTTTGTTGGTGGAGAGTTTTCCAGATCTGCAGGGAATGCTTGTCCATGAGGGGAATTTTCACAAAGATTTACTCCAGTGGGACTACAGGGACACTTTCTTTAACCTCACCCTCAAACAGGTCCTTTTTCTGGAGTGGTTTAGAAAACACTGTCCTCAAGCCCTGAAGGGGGATGATCTATCTATCTATCTATCTATCTATCTATCTATCTATCTATCTATCTATCTATTATCTATCTATCTATTATCTATCTATCTATCATCTATCTATCTATCTATCTATCTATCTATCTATCTATCTATCTATCTATCTATCTATCTATCATCTATCTATCATCTATCTATCATCTATCTATCTATCTATCTATCTATCTATCTATCTATCTATCTATCTATCTATCTATCTATCTATCTATCTATCTATCTATCTATCTATCTATCTATCTATCTATCTATCTATCTATCTATCTATCTATCTATCTATCTATCTATCTATCTATCTATCTATCTATCTATCTATCTATCTATCTATCTATCTATCTATCTATCATCTATCTATCATCTATCTATCTATCTATCTATCTATCTATCTATCTATCTATCTATCTATCTATCTATCTATCTATCTATCTATCTATCTATCTATCTATCTATCTATCTATCTATCTATCTATCTATCTATCTATTTGTAATGTCTATTATGTTCTATTATATTGTTCAAGATCCTCCACTCGGTTTTCCAGATACGCCAGCCGTTTGGCGTTCTCCGCGTTCTGAATCCGGAGCGCCTTCACTTCCTCCACCAGGCCCAAGATCGCTTTCTGCTGCATTTTCACAACGGAGATGTCCTCCGACATAAATTTCAGTGATTTTTTAATATCATCGCCACCTTCTGCTGTCCGTCCCTTCTTTGGACCCATTTCCGCAGTGCTGAGAGGTTCGGAGAAGAAGTTCTGTTGGTGATGTTCTAAAGGCCCGCTCGCCAAGCAACTCAGGGTGTCTCCTTCTTCACTCCTCTTCCTCCTCCTGTGTGCTGTTTGCAAGTAACGACGATGAGTGGAGGCCCATTTCTTCAGGTGTTTCGTAAAACACGAGACAATTATAGAATCAGTTACTGGGTTTCTATCAAGCATCTTTGACAAGAGTCTTTTGTTCCAAAGCAGGTCTCTAGAAACTTTCTTATAAATCTTCTTATAGATTTTGGATGCATTTTCGGGGTGAATAAAATCGTTTTGACCTTCATTTTTAACTTCAGCCCAGATCTTGTTGAAAAAATACTCGTATGTGTCTTGATGGACCTCAAACGTGCAGCCTGACGGTGCTTCTGAAGCAGCCTTCGTAGTCGCTTTCCTGACAAGTTCACTGACAAGTGTGTGGAAACATTCATTTACATCTCCAAACACCTCATAGCTCTCTTCACACGACGACAGCTCTGAATGACCGCTCACAGAAAGATCCGCTGTTTCTTGGCGCTGAAACAGTGACTCTTGTATAATTTGTGACGGTAGATCCCCCGTCTCTAAAAGCTGCTCTTTACCGTCTCTTATGTGGGCTAAAGGTGACAGATTTGCATCTTCTACCGTCTCTGATAACGGTAGCAGAGATCTGCAGCTCGGTACTTTAATGGTTTCAGACAAGATGCCATCCTCTGGTAGTGGAACCCCTGAAAACTCGTTTGAAACTAAATTCACATCATGAGAAATGAGTGAATTTTCAAGAAATTGCATGTTCGAAACTATTTTTTCATCTGTGTGTTCTTCAGGCATAGAGATGTCGCGTGTTATTGTTTCTAATTCCTCTAAGACATCAGATGTTTCTGTGAATATTCTTTTTAAAAACGTAAATAAAACCCCCTTGAAGCATTTCATGACACATTTTGTGAAACGTTTTTCGTCCATGGGATTTGTCTTCCATTCTATTTCCACCGCAGCCCAGACTTTGTCAAAGACATACTTGCATAAGCCTTCTTCTTGCTCAGGTGACCATCTAAGTAATTTAGCAGGCCTATGTACTGTTTTGCGTACATAGTTAGCGACAGCAGTTTTAAGATAATCGTTCATCTCATCACTGCTCTGTTCACCCATCACAAACAAATATTTTACATTGTCTCCAACTTGAGAAAGTGATTTGACATCTTTTTGGTTTTCCATCGCCTTCTCCTCCTCCTGGGTTTCCTGGTTTTCCATCTGCATAGAGGAGACTGAATCCTGGTCTAGCTCCACAGATTCAGAGTGATACATTTTCGTCGATTTTCTCTTAAAAGCGTTGGACACGGCTGTCCCTATAATTGAAAAGAACTTTCTGATACCAGATTTTACACAGTTTTTCTCCAGCTGTCGTAAAAACATTTGAACAAATTCATTATCCATTACTGGGCGTTTCTCAGACAAAGCGTTCAATAAGTGTCCTTCACTGCAGATCATGGCTTTGCGAATGTCATAGGAAGTCCTAATGAAGGTTTTGTCAAAATTGTCTGGGGTGATAGAGAACTCATGTAGTTTAGTCTCTACTGCATCCCAGATTAAGTCAAAATGATAATCATAGATTTCCTCCTCGGTGTTTTCTGACCAATCCTGAGCCCATCGTGCGCCTACATATTCAATTGTGTCTCTCAAAAGTTCACTCACAAATGCTTTTGTGACGTCCTCTTTGCTAACACTTGAATCCATTTTAAATCTTATGTCTTCAAAACTTGTCTCCAAAGAACAGAATTTATTCCAGGTGCTGAGCCTTCGCCTGTCGCTTATAAAGTGAAAAGAGTTGATCCCTCGAGAGGACGTAACTCCTTTATGACGTCACGATGCCTTTGATTACGCGATCACAACACTACTACACCCTTGCTTCCAAAGCTCAACTGCACAGACGTCGACGTCGTAGACGGACGTAAACGTAAACTGACGCGGACGCTGGCAGACCTTAATTTATGCCCGGTGTTTTTTTAAATTAATTTGTTTATTTTTAATAAAACTGGGTATCTGTACACAGCATAGAAATAAAGCACAAAAGTACAAAACAAACAAAGGGGCAAAAGTACTAAAACATTGTTCAAAATTTAAGAATACAGAGCACAATCACAGAATAAATGGGGAATTATTACCAATTATCTAAGTTAAATTTTTCAAATAACTTCCAAATTTTTATGGCTTTTAATCTATGTTCGGTGTTCTGTCTCCCTGCTTGCTTGTCGAATATTCCTACCGCAGCGTGTTACGACGTTTCGCACTTGTTTACAGTACAGGAACGGGCTTTTAGTAAGCACGGCTGTCGGTCTGTACTTCCGCGTTTCACGGGTAAGTTGGAGAAGGCATGAGTATACCGTGCTCCCTCTTGTGGCTATTTGGTGGTATTACAACTGGCTGGCTAAATCTTGTCTGACTGACAAGAGTGATTAAAAAAACATCTGCAACATAAAACCCGTTATTAAAAATAATATTTTGACGTGTTTGTGTCACACGCTGACACATTTCTTAATGTTTTCTACTGAATAACTTTTGAAAACAGTTCTTGCAAAGATGCAACTCATGTTTAGGAGCATGGAAACAACTAAAACACGGTGGATAGGGAATGTCGAGGACCAGATCCAGGTCTGAATTATTAACAATGTTTGTTTTAGCTTAAAAGTAAAACTAAAACACAGCTGTGTTTCAAGGCTTTGAGGAGCAACAAAAGATGCTCCTAAAACCGTCCAAATTTATTGCAACATTTTTTCTTAACATTACAATCAAAGCATCTCCAGTTCACATGGGTGATATTCAGACCGGCACAGAAAGCACCTCGAGTTCATCTATATTAGCAGAAGGAGCAAGTCATTCATTGCACTCCACAACCACATTGAATCAATAGTTTTATTGTCATTGTTTTAATAAAGGTGTAGCATGAACAAAACATGGAGGATAATAGTCATTAAGTGACTATTTTTAGAAACTTCAAACAAAAACAACATGACTGGCAACAAGTTAAGCATTACATGAAGCTATAATGACTAAATCAGCACCTTCCCAACACTTTTATTTGCTTCTCAGAGCTGCTAAAAATAAAAGTAACAACATCAAAAGTTTCTATCACATTCTTTATAGAAAGTAAGATTTTTTAGTTTGTTTGAAGTTCATAAATAATAAAATTGGTCAGATTTATATAAAAAAAAATCATAAAGAAAAAAGTATTTTACTTGTTTTTCGTGGCTTTTGAAGAGACCATCTAAAATAATAAAAATATAACACATGTTATGTGTGTTTTATTCTGCTCCAGCAGGTGGGGCTAGTGCGCCTTTACGCTGGTTACCGACCACCGGAAGAAGCAGAAACCGGAAGCTGCTAGCAGAGCAGCTAGCTTGTTGTTGCTCTGGTGTGTGAGGAGAATATTTGAGGCTCTGTAGTAAAAATGTCTTCACTTCAGTCTCTGGGAGAGTTGATCCGCTAAAGCGACTAACTGCTGCTGCTGCAGAAATCTTCTCACCAGGCTGTGGAAACTTTCTTCTCCTCCTCAACAACTTGGTGGAGTTCTTTCCAGAACCAGAGAAGATATTCTGCGGTCTTCGTGACAATCGGAGCTCCAGAATCAGGTTGTGGGCCAGAAAAGCTTTTCTCTAGACTTCCTGCCCTCTGGATCTGCTGCTGTTCCTTTGGCCAGAACCAAAGCGTTGGATCTTTAATCTCCTGCGTTGTTCTGAAGCAGCATCTTAATCAGCTCTCCTGCTTTGTTTCTATTGCAGCTGTTAGCTAAACACGGCTAAAGAAAACCTGCTACCACTTCAGGATCATCCATCAGCTGGGACTGATTCATCGTGTGTTCTTCACCACCTGGACCTGGACAGCATGGACACAGGTACTGGTGGATGAATGAATGAATATATGGTCAGTCTATGGTGGGACATTACAGTGAAATTATGAGAATGAGGTTCAATCTTTAAAATAATGATCTGTATATGTTTAGCACTACTGGGGTTCTAAAACCCCCCAAAGCGTTTTACATCACAACCAGTCATTCACTCATTCACACACTATTGTAGAACCTTGAAGATTTAGAGTGACTAGATCCAATGAACGATTTTGAAGCCAAGTATAGTGGTCATGTGACTCGTACTGATCCAAAGAATCTTTTGTTTTGAGGGGAGTTAAAGTCCCAAAGTCATTGTCACACACTGGTGAAGTTACGTCCTGCATTTGACCCGTCCCCATGAACAAACACTTAGATGTAGCTGCTGTCAGTAACAACCTTTAACTTTTAAGCTCTCAGCAGGCTAAAGCACTACAAAGGAATCTTACAAATTAGCATCCAATATATAAATGTATATAAGTATATATATATATGTATGTATGTATATGTATATGTATGTATGTATATGTATATATATATGTATGTATATGTATATACATATATATATATACGTATATTTATGTGTATATATACGTATATATATATATACACATATATATATACATATATATGTGTGTATATATATACATATATATGTATATATATATACATATATATGTATATATTAGTGATGGGTAGATGAAGCCTCATGAAGCGTTTCAGCACATTCCCCAAATAGTATTGAAACTGTGTCGACACAGTGCTGCTGTTTTGCTCTATAATGACACCTACTGGACTTTAAATATCATTGCAGGCAACATACTGGAGACACAACAGACGCTGATTCAATGACCTAATCATACTTGTATACACTGTAAGCTATTGTAGGCCTACTTCATAAGTTATTATTTTAAACTTCTAAATTTAAAATCTATACACCTCAAAATATTCTGTGAATGATACCAAGTGACAATTAAAGTGACAGTGCTGTGAATGTGATATTACCCATTTCAGTGTCATTGACTCAAGTTTTTTTTATTTTTATAAATTTTTATTAAGAAAAATAAGTTTATCCAATGTGTTGGCATTTAGTCTATTACGTTTTTTGGACACTATTTCACCAGCTTTCGAAAACACACGTTCACAGGGCACAGAAGAAGCTGGGGTACACAAAAACTGTAAAGCCAGGTGGAAAAGGTGTGGGTAGGATGTCTTCCGGTTCCCCCAGTATGTTAATGGATCTTCTTGTCTTGAAATGTTTCCCTCTGCTAAGTAGCGCTGGACCTCAATGATCGAGTCAGCTGTTGCATTGGTGGTTTGTCTGCCAACCTCTTGATCAAGCTGCTGCCACAGATTATCTGAAATAATAAAAAATACATAGAAGTTTTAGTTTTTGTTAGCAACAAAACAAATGTGAAAATAAACTGATAATACTGAACAACTTGCCTGAAGTGGGTAACTGCTCTAATGAAGGTCCAGGCTGTGGCTCAGATGTTGTGTGACCAATTACTGCAGCACACTCCATTTTCAGGCGATTGACAGCCTCACTACACTTGGAGGAACTACAAAATCCAAGTGTTTTAAATCTGGGGTCTAAAAGTGTTGATAGGGTCAACACACTTAATGACTCCAGATTAGAAGCAGTGTCTGTGACGCGACGTCTAAGTTGGTCATGGAGACGTGTGGCTGCTTGTGTGTGTAGATGTAAAGAGTTCCGCTCAAGTGCACAATTTAGCATTTTCATCATCGGGATGACCTTTGATCCTGAAACTCTCCTCTCCTCAGACAACTCCACTGTGGCCTGATGGAAAGGGGCCAGCACAAGAAGTGCTTCCCTTAAGATGTTGAACTCAGCAGCTGTGAGTGGAGTTAAATCTGTTTGGAGAGGCAAGAGATACCCACACTGCTTCTTTCTCATCATGTAGCCGTGACAGCATCTGATATGTGCTGTTCCAACGTGTTGGTACCTCAGTGACAAGTTTCAAGGTGGGCCGTCCCATCTGTTGCTGCACTTGAGCTAGCTTCTCTTTTGCTGTGGTGCTGGATCTGAAGAATGATACAATTTGCCTAGATTTGTGTCTTATGGATGAAACTTCAGGGATCTGATCACAGGATTTTTTGACTATTAAATTTAGTTTGTGTGCAAAATGCAGATTGAATGTCGAATTTGAAGAGTTCGTGTTGCTGCTATCATGTTTGGTGCTGCGTCGGTCACAAGACACCTTACCTTATTTGTTATGGCCCAGTCGTCCATTATGCCCCTTTTGACTTGGGCCAGATTGTCAGCAGTGTGACTTTGTGGAAAGTGTTTGACTCCCAACACAGATGTACACAACTGCATATTATCATTGATGTAGTGACAGGTAAGAGCTAAGTAAGCCTCCATGTTCAAGGAGGTCCACATGTCAGCTGTTATACTCACTGCCACAGCTTGCTGTACTTCCCTTTTTACTCGTTCGAGTTCCTCCGCATGCTTTTTGGCCATCATTTCCTTAACCGTCTGAAAATGAATCAAAATCAAATCAGTCTAGTACTCAACACATTAATTAGACCACCTGTCATTAAAGCAAGAAAAACATCCAGCTAGGAAGTTCTCTGTGTTTTGCCCTGTTGAATAGAAGGTAGGAATTTAAACTGAATCCAGTTTTATACCCAAATGTGAGCTGACACACCGGACAGAAATTATTCAAGCATGCATGATATTTGAATCACAAGTGTTTATTTTTGTTTGCTGTGTCATAAACCTTAAATCAGACGATGGTCTAATACATTTGTTAAGCACTGTATATATTACATGAGTAACAGCAGCTATCTGAGACATTGTGTATACAAACCTTTCTGGTTGGCAAAACGTAAGATGGATCAAGGGCCTGAATCAACCCCCTGAACCCCTCACTCTCCACAATACTCAAGGGTTGGCGGTCCTTTAATAAAATTCAGGACTGCTTGGTCCAGAGCAATCTTCCTAGATTCTAGATTTCAAAATAATAAAACATATATTAGTAAAACAACTGTGACAAAGCACGCCCAGTGTCTATATAGGTCTACCTGTGTTCGTTCTTGGTGTATTTGCTTCCTCTTCGTTTTCATGCTTGACTCTGTAATGTCTCAGCATTGAGGAAGTGCTCTTATTTGTATAAGACAACTCGGCTGAGCAGATCCGACATTTAACCTAATTAAATTAAATAAATAATTTACACTGAGAGTCAGTCACATTGCTATTTTCAACTCTGACAGATGCGCAGAAACAAGGAAAGACAAACACGTATCTTATTTGCTGTTAAAAGATCAAAATGATCCCATACAGCAGAAACTTTTCTTTTCCTCTCTGGCTCCATTTTCTTGATGTAAAGAGGGATGTCTTGTTTTATCTTTGAAATGGTAATTTTTTCGCGGCGACTCATCCCGTTGACAGATGCAGAGTCGATACCTTATAAACACAGTTTGGCGCCTCGGCAATGAGCGACACAGCAGCAGTGTTGGTCACGTGACTTTTTCTTAAAGCAACACACGCATCGACACTGATCGACACAGGTTTCGCTCCATGAGCTTGACACATGCGCCGGTGTGTCGGTGTTGCTGGACCCATCACTAGTAT